AAGGCAGCCACCCCTGCTCCAGAGGTGCCCTTGGGTGTCTCTGTCTGCTCCTTCCTGCCCCAGCATTGGTGCCACACTCAGGAGTCAGACTGTGGGCCACAGGACCCATGCCATGCCCTGCATGGCCTCCCTCTTCCCCTGTAAAGGAGGGGACAATGAGGGCAGAGGACTAAGCCCAGGAAGGGCCCGTAGAGTCACTAACAGGGTGTGCTTCTTGGAGTGGAGGCAGCCGCCAACTTAGCTGTCCTCAGAAACCAAGCAGAGAGACCATTCTGGGGAAAGAAGCCAACCCAGCTACCCAGGCCACTGACTGAACCCCAACATAGGCTCGGGCTAGGCCTGGAGATGCCTTCTCTCCTGTGAGCAGCAAGTTTAAAGCCAGGCTCAGCCAAACCCCTAAGCATTCCTTACCTTCTCTGGGGCACCATGAAATTTTGCATGAAGCCCTTCATCTAAAAAGGATTTTGTTCATGTCTGCTCTGTGGGCATTGACTGGATTGGTAAGAGTGGGGGTTTTAGAGGGTTCGTTATCTAAAGACCTACTAGGGGCCTGGCCTGGACTGAAGCCTTGAGGAGGAGGTAGGGGGCCTGGAATCTGTGTGCAGTGGCTGAAGCCACCCTCCTGACCCCAACCTGGGCCTGCACTGGACCCCAGGCCTCAGGAGCCAAACCATCTTTGCAGACACTTGGATTCTGTTACCTGACTATTTTGGGCAGCCCTGAGCTAGACTTGATTATGGCAAACTGAAATAGTTCCTTCCTCGATGTGGCTGGCTCTCCCCTCCAAATGAGCCTTTTGGAGACCCTTGGGGTTCTGTGGTGAGCACAACCCCCCATCCTACTCTCCAGTTCTCCTGGCAGAAAAGGAAGAGCAGCCCAGGGAGCCTTCATGCAGAGTGTGAGGTCCATGGGCCCTTTTGGACTGAGTGCCACGGGCAGCACAATGCCTCCCTCCAGGTATGGGCCCCGCCCCTTCCCTGTCCCCAGCTCCTTCCCCTTGGAGAAAGGCACAACAGGAATGGCCGGGTGAGGACACTGTGGGACTGTGCCCAGGGAATGACAATTCTGGGCCTCTCCCTACTCCCTGTGAGTGTCAGCCTGGGTGTGGGCCCCGGGGAGGCCCCTGTCTTTCCCTAGTCCAAAGGTCACTAACAGCCCAGCTGCTGGGAGTACGTGGAGGGGGGTTCTTCTGCCAGGAGGTGCAGAACAAAGGAGGGCGGGTGGGAGAGAAGGAAGAGGCTGAGCTTAGTGCATATCCTGGCGCCTGAGTGCATCTCTGTCTGGGCAGGACTAGGCCACTGGGGCTGCCCTCAGCTTCCCCTACCGCGCAGCCTGCACCCTGGACAAGGCTCTGCAGAATAGCCTGTCTTCTTCGGCCCCTCCTGCTCCTGAGAGGCAAGTTTCCTATAGGACTTGAGTGAAATAGCACCAGATTGCCAGGCTCAGGAGGCAAGTCCCTATCAAGCTACTCCTGGCCGAGTCTCCCCTCAGGGCATTTGCCTTTATCAGGGGTGGGTGCTGTCGAACTTGCCAGTGGTGGAATTTCTGACCCAGAGTGGTGGGTGAGGGAGATGATTTGGGTCAGGGGCCCTTTGTAAGCCATTCAAATTGTCTCAGGTTGGCAGTGCTCCACTGCAGCGCTGGTCACCGGAGGGGCCGCGTGAGCTCAATGGGGCCCCAAGTGGTGGGAGCAGGGAGACAGGGAGCTCCTGGGGCATACAGTGTGGCCAAAGCAAGGGGGACCATCCAGCACTCAGAGCTGTTGGTGTGGGATGGTTCTGCCTTGGCGGTGATGAGTGCCTATCATGGGGACATCCAGGCGCAGTGAGAAGGCTGGGCAGGGATGGTGTGGACAAGGGGATTGTGGGAGCAAGGGTCTGGAGGTGGGAACATGCCAGGCAGGGGTAAGGACTAGTGAGCCACCCAGGGAAAATGTATACAAAGGTTGTGAACAATTAGGCGGAGAGCTCTGGCCCTGAGCTCCATGCCTCCCCAAGCGTTTGCTAACCGTTAGGGGTTGAATTGTATCCCTACAAAAAGATATATGGAAGTGCTAATACCCCTCATTTGAATGTGACCTTATTTGGACATAGGGTATTTGCAGATTTAATTGAGTTAAGATGAGGCCATTGGGGTGGCCCTAATCCAGTTTGACTGAATTCTTGTAAGAAGAGGGACACTTGGACACAGACACAGGTGCACATGCAGAACCCCGCATGAAGACACAGAGACAACAGACACAGAAGGAAGGTGGCCACGTGAAGATGGAGGCAGAGATTGGAGTTATGCTTCCACAGCCAAGGAATGCCCAGAGTCACCAGAAGCTGGAAGAGGCAAGAAAAGCTTCTCCCCTAGAGGCTTTGGAGGGAACATGGCCAACACCTTGATTTTGAACTTCCAGCCTCCAGAACTGCGAGAGAACACATTTCTGTTGTTTTTAAGTCACCCAGTTTGCGGTACATACTTTGTTATGGCAGCCGCAGGAGACTGCCACACCAGGCTGGCTCTGCTGCCTGGAACACCCTTCCGCCTGGTTCCTTCCAGCGAGCCCTCTCACCACCTCCAGTCCCATCACCTGCTCCATGAGCCGGAGTTGAGTGCGATTTCTCTGTGTAACCTCACGCTGAGCCCTTGTCCAGTAGATCTGTAAGGTTTGCTGGCCAGCCTACATCCCTGCCTAGACTGTAAGCTCCTTGGGGCGGGGCAGGGCCTGGCCTGCAGTAGGGCAGCATAGACCTGGTCCACAGTGGGTGCTCAGTCAATATGAGGTGGTAAATGGAGTAGTCGAGAGTGCCAAGGCCCTCAGACTGGGATGAGCCATCTACTCCTCCACAGCCTGGCCTATCTGGGGTGGGCACAGAGCCAACCAGAGAGGTAACAGCACCATCCACACAGGCCACTTCCCAGCTCCTCCACTTTCTAGTCCCCTCCTGCCCTTATGTGAGTCTGAATGACTTGGGGAAATTCCTAACCTCCCCTTTCAATTGGGCCATTGGCCCTGTGAGTTTGCCACAACATAATTGCTCAGGTCCCTCCAACAAGGGGACTGTGTCTGTGGCTCGATGACTCATGCACACTGCTCCATCCCACAGCCTTGGGTGGGACCCAGGGCTGGGGTTAGTGCCAGCCAGAGCAGACTAGGAGCTTGGACATCCCGTTGCCCCAAGCCAGTCCCCAGGAACAGAGCGTACCCAAGGCTTTAGGACAAAAATCTGGAAGCAGGGAGGCACCTCTCACTTGAAGTGAGATCTGAGTGATAAAAAGGAAGAGACTGAGGAAACAGTGAGCTCAAAGGCCCTGAGGTAGGAATGAGCTTGGTATGATCAAGAACTGGAAAGAAGGCAGGGGAGGCTGGAACATGGTGAAAAAGGGGTCAGTGGGGCCCTACCCAGTTTTGCTCAGTGGACAGAGTGTCCTGGGTTCGATTCCAGCCAAGGGCACGTACCTCGGTTGCAGGCTGGCCCTGGTCGGGGTGTGTGCAGGAGGCAACCAATGGATGTGTCTCTCTTACATCGATATTTCTCTCTGTGTGTCGCTCCCCCTTCCTTTCACTCTAAAAATCAAGGGAAACATAACCTCAGGTGGGAATTAACAAAAAACAAAAAAAGAGGTCAGTGGTAGGACCTGAGATTAGATTGAGTCCACCTGGATAACTGGGATAATCTCTCCATCTCAACATCCCTAAATTAACCCTCTCTGCAAAGCCTCTGTTGCTATATGTAAGTATAACGTAGTCCAGGTTCTGGGGAGCACAACATAGATATCCTAGGGGGACATTATTCTGTCTACCACAGTGTCTCTCTCATCCTTACCTTTCTCTCTCACGCTATTGCTACAATTCTGTTTTCCTATCTATCTACCTATATGATCTATTGACCTGTCATCTGGCCACAATTTATCTCTCTTCCTACCTCTTCATCAAGTCTCAACAAGTTATTTATCAATCTATTTCTCCTCCATGGATTTAATCTTTCAATTTGAAAATTGAATCCCCCCTCAGCCCTCTAGCTAATAAACTGACTTTTAAATTCAATCTCAATCCTGGCCGGTGTTGCTCAGTTGTTAGAGCATTGTCCTGTGCACTGAAATGTTTTGGGTTCCAATCCCGGTCAGGGCACGTACCCAGGTTGTGGATTTAATCCCAAATTGGGGCACATGCATGAGGCCAACTGGTCGATGTTTCTCTTTCCCTCTCTTTTCCTCTTTCTCTAGAACAAATGAAAAACATATCCTCAGGTGAGGATTTAAGAAAAGATACTTCAGTCTATCATTATGAATTATCAAGCTTCATATTTTCACATGTGTCATATATGTGAACATTCTTTCTTAATGTCTCCAAATAAATTAAGTAAATATTGAGTGCTTGCCATGTGTCCAATTCTATGTCATGTGGGTGAGATAAAAGGCTGATGACACCCCCAGTAGCCATATTGGGTCCTTTTTCATCATCATCATCATCACCATCAATGCCATCTCTGCCAATCCATGCATACTTCCAATTTGTTATCCATATATGGACCATTTTTATATGGACTTTCCAGCCACATCTGGGCTGTTCTAGTCTGCCTTTTGCTTACTAGCCATCCTGTGTATGCATAAATAATGCAGGCTCATTTTAACTCAATCTTAGATAAAGTGTGGGTACAAAAGTATATCTGCTAGGCAAGCATCTTCTACATCAAGTAACAAATCCTAAAGTTAAATGGAAATTATTTTTAGGTTGACTGGGCAGGTAGCACAGAAGATGGGGCCTCCAGAGATGTGACATCTGGCATGAGTGGATACATGTAGACACACAACACACACACACACACACACACACACACGTAGGTACACACAAATGCATATGTGCACACACAAGCATATTTGTGCCCTCTCTTTTCCCTCTTACCCCACATAGTGGCTCCTTCCTGGCTCCCTCATTTCCTCCCCACTCCCACCCCCAGGGCCAAAGCAGACACTTCAGCACTGACTCATGATCTCCCTCATCTTGTTTCCAGTCTAGGAATCTCACCTCCTCACCTTGGCTGTGAGGTCTTCTGAGGCAAGAATGATGCCTGTTCTTTCTTGGGCATGTCCTCCCAGCCTGGCCAGCCAGAAGCCTGGACACCTAAGAGCTGCTGGCCTTTCCTTGAACTCTGAGGGCTTCTGTGGAACAGAGAGGTAAGAGGTTAGATGCCCAATAATAGAGGCTCTCCAGAGAAGTCCCCACTGCCCAACACAGTTCGCTCTGCCCCCCAAGGAATCTGCCTCTCTTGACCCAGCTGGTTGCCAGGGTAATGAGGGTTTTCTCCTTTGGTAGAACTCTCATAGGGGAACTGTACTAAGTGGGTAATCTGCTTGGAGCTGGCCTAGTGGGGATCAGCTCAACAAGAATGTCCTTGTTTCCAAGCATCTCCATTGCACAGGCATCCAGTGCCAATTCCTGTCCAAGCCTCTCCTTGGGGCTGGCTGGAGACCCAGCACATTTGGAAGCAGCTTGCCACCAGCCAGAGCTGCAGGTCCTGGATGTCCAGCAGTTACATACCCAAGGCCAGCCCAGGCTCACAAGTCACTTTGTCCACAGCCCTAAGGGAGGAACAGCTTGCTCCCCAGTGTCTGCAAGAGGCTCCCAAGCAACCACCTTGCACCCTGGAGCCCTTCCCAGCGGTGGGAGGCTGGACAAGGCCAGGACACCATTAAGGAATCCCTGACTGGGGTGAGGAATCTCGGGGCCAGCTGGCCTTGCTGCTTCTGGTTCCACACTGAGCCTGGATCCTGTCCACTTACTACCTAAATCCAATGTATGCCCCTCTCCTGTCCTGTGGTATCCCAGGGCAGAGGCCTCATATAGCACATCTCTGTAGCCTGAAGCTAGCTCAGAACAACCGTAGGAATTGTATGCAGAACAGATCTGCACCTATGCACAGCTCACACCAACATCCCTAGGCCCAGAGCCCAAGCCCAGGCCTATAGCAGTCTCCATCTCTCTCCCCCAGCTCAGAACCCTCACTTAGTAAGTTTCATTAACTGTTTAGAGCCCATCAGGTAATAAATTATCCCCTTATTTGCTCCTTAAAGGAGCCAGGCTGGGCCAGATATCCTCAAACTGAAGTGTTGGGAAGAAATGGTACTCCCCTGTCAGAGGAGGGAGCCCCCACAGGAGGCCATGCTACTCAGAAACTTCTCTCTTCCCACATGGTTCCCAGTCCCTGCCTGGCCCAAGCCTAAGTCCCAGCAGACCACAGGCCAAGTGGGGCTTTTCCATGCCTTGCTGGATCTCAGCCTCCATGAGAAGGCTCTGGAAGGACTAAGAATCTCAGGCTGGGCCAGCTAGATAAGCCCAGAGGGACATTGCCACTGGGGCCCAAAGAGGGCCAAACAGGCGCCAGTCCACCCAGTCAGCACTTGGCTGAGCCAGAGGGCAGCCTTCTTGCCCCTGCCCTCCAGGATGGCACTCTAGCCCATCTTTGGGCTCAGGGAGCACGTCCCTCCACCCCAATAATGCTTTTATTCCAGGAGAAGTCTAAGCACCCTTGGGGCAACCAGCACTGCCCAAATGCAAAGGGCTTCTTGGGGCTCCTCCAACAACCACAGTCAGCTCTTCCCCTCCATCTCTATAGCCCCCACTCCAGCCCCTCCCCCCTTCCCAGCCTCACTCCCCGACCTCCAACACAGGCAACCAACCAGTCATCAGTCTGATGGCTATCATTCCAAACACTTTGTTTTTTCTATAAAATTACACATCTCTGTGTGTCTGTGTTGAGATAAAAATGTAGACTTTTGTAGGTATTTTTTAAATGTGAATGGGATTATACTGTGCATATTAGCCAGAAACTTGCTTTATTATCAGGTGTACAATAACATGATTCAATATTTGTGTATTCTGAAATGTGCCTTTTCACTTCACACTTTTATTAGGGCTCTTTGTACATCAGACACACAAAACAACACAACAATTTTTTTTTGTCTTCTTTTTACACAGGTTTATTTACCCCATTTTCTAGTGATGGACATTCAAGCTGTTTCCAGTTTTTCACTGTTACAGTGATGTACTAACATTCTTAAACCTTCTTGTGCCATATCAGAGGGTCTCTCTACAGAGATTCCTGGAAGTAGACTGCACGCTCTCATCTCCCCCTTCAACTTGGGGAACTTCAGGGCTCACTCTCACCCACGGGCAGCGTACTAGTATCTATTCTTGTACAAAGGGCAGTTCCCTCTTCAGGAAACACCGAGGACCAGCTCTTAGCACTGTGTTCTATACCCCACTGCACTGCTATGGACCTCGCAGACATCACCGTCTCCCTGGAACATCCTCACCCTCCATCTCACCTGAACTGCGTCTATATGCAGGTCCATCAGTGGCCTTCTCAAGAAACTCCCTAACTGTACCACCACAGCTCCCAAGATGACTTGTTTTACCTTGACTACCTTCATATGCTTACGGAATTATCTTCCTAAATGGGCCTAAGTCCCTTGAAGACAAATCTGCCCTAAGATAGAGCCTTGTTTGTGTAGGTGCTTGTTAAATGTGTGCTATTCTATATATAAAAGCCTAATATGCAAATTGTCCCCTTGGGCTGTCGTTCGACTAGGAGTTTGACCAGGAGAATGGGGAGTTTGACCGCTTGCTATGACGTGTGCTGACCACCAGGGGCGGCACGGAACATGGCGGGTGTCAGTGACAGTGGAGGTGCTGTGGGCCCCGATAGGCCCTGATGAGAACGAGACCATGGCGGGATGGTGGAGCAGGTGAGCGGGTGGGTGGCGCCAGGCCAAGGCAGGTGTGAGCGGGGCCTGATCGCCCCCTGCAGACAGCGACCAAAGGCAGTGGCAGGGGGTGGGACCACCACCCGGTATGGTGGAGCAGGTGAGGGGGCGGTGCCAGGCCAAGGCTGGGTGCCAGGCAGGGCTGAGGGGCTGTGAGGCATGTATTCATGCACTGGGCCTCTAGTTTTTAATAAAACCAAGTTACCCTCAGTAAATGCATGGGAGCGGTCTCTGTAAGGTTGCTAGATTGGGGGGTGAGGTGGGGGGGAGGATTTGCTTTGATTTATCAGAAACCCTGGGAAAAGGTTTTGGCTTTTGGGTGAAAGGGTGAAAGGCTTTTGCTTGAACTGTTCAACTTGACTTGGGGCCAGTGCCTTTGGTTCTTGGTGGTCATTGGATTAGGCCAGGCCCCTCAGCTCCGAGTGGGGTGTCTCACACTTAGATTCCGGTCAAGGCTCTGACTTGGCTGGAGTTACTGTCTGCCGCCAGTTTCCGGGGAGGCATTTGGAGGCCCCAGGGATCTACATTGCCTTCTGCCATCTGTGGCCACTGGGCTGGGTCTGAGAGTCTGAGGAGAGACAGGTGGCCTGGCTGGCACATCATCCAGACATCTCCTGGTGCTGGTCCGTACCGTCCTAAACCAGTTGGCAAAGACTGCAGAGGGGTGCCTCTCCCAGGCATGCATTTATAGTGCACCACAGAAAGAGCCAAGGCTGGGTCTTGCCAGGGCAGTGTCTTCAGCCACAGATACTGCCTGGGCAGCTTTTCTCTCTATCCCAAACCCCTGCTGCAGCCCCTGCCTGGAGCCTAGGAGGCGGAAGCTGCTGGATTAGTCCTCTCTTGAATGCCAAAGTATGTGCTTTGCCCAGAGCTTGCCATAGATAGGCAGCCAGCAAAAATTTACCAAATGACCAACAGAATGAATGTCTCTCTCCCTTAGAGGAGGCCACCTAATGCCATTAACCATATGTGAGAGGATAAGGACTGGATTCCAGAAACAGAGGAGACAGAAGAAAGTGTGAGCAAATCACACCTGCATCTGTGCAGTCTTCCCAGATTTCATGTTTTCCCTTCAGGATTCCCCAGATGTCTACAGGCACTCCGATGCTAAGGGCAAGTGATCCAGTTTTCCTAACACTCTAAAACGGTGATATTTCAAGTGTGATTTGTGACCAGCAGCATCAGCAGCACCTGAGAGCTTATTAGAAATGCAGATTCTCATGCCCGACTCCAGACCTAGTGAATCAGAATCTGTACTTGAATCAGATCCCAGGTAACTGTGTGCATGTTAACATTGGACAAGTATGACCTGAAGCAGCTAGTGATTAAACATAGGACTTCTCACTTGGCTGCTAAGATGTGGCAAACTACATTTGGGGCTTCTACCTACCTTGATGACTCAGACAAATTATTGAGTCAGATATTTTCTGTATCCCCAGCCCTTGAATACTGTCTAGAACAAGCATGTCAAACTCAAAGGCTAACATGGGCCAAATAAACAAGGTTTAAGTTTATGTGGGCCGCCAAAAAACAAAAGCTTCAATTTTCATAGAAATGTAGGTTTATTTTGATAGAGACATGCTGAACACAAAGGGCTGAAATAAATGTGTAATCATTAACATAAAATAATAGAACATTTTAATAAAAATTAGTATTTTTTTCTTGAACATTAACTTACCAGACATTGAATAACTGCACAAATTAATAAGCATAACGTAAATAAACCTCTTTTTCTTGTTCTCCGAAAGCGAAATATTTCCTGTTGCGCACACCAAATAAGTCAGTACAAGAATAATGACATGGCAGGCAATCAGCTGCAAAAATATTTGCTGCTAAAATATCGGCTGCTAAAATATAGTATTAGTGGAGAGAAATGGTGTGCCTGCGCGTAAGGCACGTAAGGGAAATGAATGCAACAGGATTATAGTAATCAGTCATTAGTGAATATTGTAGTTCGTTATTAATAATTATGTATAACAGGATATTGTAAAAATTAAGTTATGAAAATTTTTTGGAAATTTTTATTAAAACGTTTCTCACATACCGTTATATTGGCCAGGCTGCAAAAATATTCGTTGTGGGCCACATGCAGCCTGCGGGCCGCAAGTTTGACATGCCTGGTCTAGAACATAGTAGGCACTCAGTAAATATTCCATGAATAAATATTGAACAATTCTCATGCTCTTTTCTCTATTTAACGTGTTCAGGGTATGCTGGACTTCTGTTTCTGGACATCAATTGCAAGTTATTAGAAGAATTTTTGTTTCCAGTGGAAGAACAGATATTGTTAAATGAGCAATTACTGAGTGCCAGGCCGATGCCATATCATGTGGATAAGTTCTCAGTCTTTTACAAAGTGTGGTTCAAGGCCAAGGGCATCAAACATGACCAGGTGCTTGTTTAAAAATGTAGATCCCTGGGCCCTGCTCCAGACCTGCCCATTGAGAACCTTTGGAGATGAGACCCAGAAGTCTGCATTTTTAAAATATGTATATTTTATTGATTTTTCACAGAGAGGAAGGGAGAGAGATAGAGAGTTAGAAACATCGATGAGAGAGAAACATGGATCAGCTGCCTCCTGCACACCTCCTACTAGGGATGTGCCTGCAACCAAGGTACATGCCCTTGACCGGAATCGAACCTGGGACCTTTCAGTCCGCAGGCCAACGCTCTATCCACTGAGCCAAACTGGTTAGGGCAGAAGTCTGCATTTTTAACAAACACTAAAGTTTGGAAATTATTGCATCCCTAATTTACAGAGGAAACTAAGGAACAGAGAGGTTAACTGACTTGTGCAAAATCACAGAGCAGGTGAATGGTGGAGATAGGACTCAAACCCAAGACTGCCCAAATCCAGAATCCACAGTTTTAATCACATTGTCTATTATTATGCTGGAAAAATTGATGCCCAGGCTGACTGTGTATATTTAACCATGTATATCATTTTGTGTGTATCTCACGTTTTCCTAACGTTTGCTATATCGTTCTTGTGGAGTCTTGGAAGGCAGTGAATGTGTTTTATTTTTCTCAGTGTCTGCAGCATCCATTACCATGCCTAGAACCTGGGAGATCCTCAACAAAAGTTGTTTGGATTGAATTTCTACAGATACATAATTATCCATCTCTATAAACATAGATACTCAGAGGACGTCCCATTTTCAGGTAGACTCTTGGAACAAGCTATAGCAACTATAAACTTTCCTACCTTCTCTTGAACCCACTCCATCAAACTTTTGCTCATGTCATTCATTGATATAGCTATTGTCAAGATCACCAGTAACTTCAACCTGGATGAACCTAATGATCAATAATTGTCGGCCCTTATCTCACCTGACTCCTTGGCAGCTTTGGACATTGAACCTTTCCTTCCTCCTGAAACTCTCTTCATTTGGCTTCTAACCTCTCTGGATTCTCCTCCTCCTCTTCCTCCTCCTCCTTTTCCTCCTCCTCCTCCTTCCACGCCCCCCCCCCAATTTTGTTATTGTGGTTAAATAGACATAGCATAAATTGTATTACTGTAACTATTTTTAAGTGTGCAGTTAAGTGATATTAAATATATTCACATTATTGTGCAACCATGACTACCATTCATCTTCAGAACTCTTTCATCTTGCAAAACTGAAACTGGACTCATTAAACAATAATTCCCCATTTCCCCCTCTCTCCAGCCCCTGGCAACCACATTCTACTTTCTGTCTCTATGAATGTCACCACTCTAGATATCTCATACAAGGGGAATCACACAGTATTTATGCTTTTGTGACTGGCTTGTTTCATTTAGCATAAGAACCTCAAGGTTCATTAATGCTGTAGCACATTGCAGAATTTCCTTCCTTTTTAAAAATGAATAATATTCCATTGGAGGTATATACCACATTTTGCTCATCCACTCATCTATCGAATGGACACCAGGGTTGCTTCCACATTTTAGCTATTGTGAATAATGCTGTGAGTATGAGTGTACAGATATCTCTTCAAGACTCTGCTTTCAATTTTAGGGGGAATGTATCCAGAAATGGAATTGCTGGAACATAGGTAATTCTATTTTTTAATTTTTTGAGGAATGGCTGTACTATTTTACATTCCCACCAATAATACACAAGGGTTCTAATTTCTCCACATTCTCATAAACTCTTGTTGTTTTCTGTGTTTTTGTTTTGCTTTATTTGTTTGTTATTATCTTAGCCACCCTGAGTATGAGGTGGTATCACACTGTAGTTTTGATTTGCATTTACCTAGTGATTAGTAATGTTGAGTATCTTTTTGTGTGCTTATTGGCCGTTTGTATCTCTTCCTTGGAGAAATGTCTGGATACTTCTTTTTTAACATCTTGCTGATTCCTCCTAACCTTGCAGTGCCCAAGGGTACTATCCGTGGACCACTTCTTTTTCTTTTTTTTTAAATATATTTTTATTGATTTCAGAGAGGGAGAAAGAGAGAGAGAGATAGAAACATCATTGATGAGAATCATTCATTGGCTGCCTCCTCCCCCTACTGGGGATTGAGCCTGCAACCTGGGCATGTGCCCTTGACTGGAATCAAACCCAGGACCCTTCAGTCCGCAGGCTGACGCTCTATCCACTGAGCCAAACCAGCTAGGGCAACCACTTCTTTTTCTACACTCACCTCCTTAGTGATCTCAAACAGCCTTATATCTTTAAACACCTTCCACCTACTGACCACTTTCAATGATATCTTCAGCCCAGACCTTGCCCTTGAGCTGAGGCCACCATTTCTAGCTGCCTACCGGATGGCTGCACTTAGATGTCTAATGGTATCTCGAGTTTAACATGTCCAACAC